TCTTCAAGTAACTTAAAGAAGTCCAGACGCTTTTCTTTGCAAGCTCCTTTGACTACGATGACCTGGATGACTGAGAACCTTCACAGACTTCTTGTTCAGACATATTGATTGTCTTACATCAGTCCATAAGTGCCAGACCTAAGGAATATAAAATTAGAACGGAGGCTTTGGTTTTATTCATATCTCCAGCAAGGTTTTAGATTGGATGTATTTAGAAATCTGGAGTATCTGAAGCATCTTCGTCATATTTTCATTTGAGCAAAACTGCCACTTATTTCCTGGTACATATCAGTAGTGTTTAAAGACGAACTTTAGTAGGCAGGATATGTTTCTACAGGCATGTCTGGTTTCCAATATTGACCTTGAGCAAGCCAATAAACATCATTAATTCAGCCCATTTTTGCTCCTGAGTTTATTTCCCTTGTGACAACTCTACAAACTAGAAAGAACTCAAAGTTTTTATACCCATCATCTTTCCTTTCAGAAAGCCCTTGTTTTTCTTGGATTTTTGTTTTTGCCACAAAGCAACTGATTCTGCTCATCCAGCTGCAGAACTCTTGGTGGTTTCACCCCACAGAGAGCACAAAGCATGCCACAGAATACCAAATGATTTGGGCTCATCAACAAAGGAATAGTTTATGGAGTCCCTGTACCCTCAGCGTTTGGGTGTAGGACAAGCAACTGCCAAGACTATAGCGAAGGAGAACAACATCAAAGCTCATGTGTTGCGGCGACATCCCATCAAGTACAAAGTGGACGGTGATGTGTCAAAGATCATATTTGCACTGGGGTGGCAAGACATTCTAAAAATGCAGAGCAAAACAGGTTTTTAAGGGGTTTGAACCAAGTGGAAATTGGCTTCCCTGATGTATTTTTTTTTTTACCTGTATCTGCTTGAAAGAGTGGAAACGGTTGCTGAGATTCCTGTTGTGTCCCAACCAAAGAGGTGTGTGCATTGCCAGTATTATCGCACTCCCTGCATTGATGGAAAAGTTCCCTGTTCACACTAAAAGAACTGCAGAACATGCAGGAGTGGCTGCCATCACTGACCATTAACACTTTCTTACTGAGACGCCTTTGTATTTGTGTTTGCGTATGTGCTTTGACAGTAGTCATGCGGGTAAATGATGCAACTCCCTGAAACAAAAGGCTTCATCATAACAAAAGGTGTACACGCATAGAGCTATAGATAGTACAGTGTGCTGGCAATATCACAGTGATAAAAGAGAGCCTTACGGCAGAGGCCAAGCCCTTATTACAACAACGGTGGTCACAGTAAGCCGACTGTAATACATCAGCCTTTGCATGCATAGCTTGTCTTACTTTCTAAGCTCTTCTTCTGGGAATCAAACAAATTCCTTCTGCAGTACCTGAAAGCATCATTTAGTCTCACTCTGATGCCTCTGTATTCTGTTTTTTTATACACTTGTAGCAAAAGTTCTTATCACTGTTTGACTTTTTTCCCCTTCGTCTTGTTACCTGGCTTTCTGGCTTTCTGTCTACAGCTGTGTTTTAGCATTTATCATTTTTCTCTTTTGTCTTTCAGAATAAAGTTATGACCATTGATGCTGTGAAGGTCAAACTGCAGGTAAGAACCCAAATCCACAATATCTCTCTTTAAAACGATTAAATCTTCTTTTTCTTCCCCCATTCCTGTCCAAACGTACGTGTGGGTTATTCTTTTAATAATAAATCTCCAGCAACTATTATCCATGGTGTAAAATACGTCTCCCATACATCTTCATTTCCTGCTATGGGAGGGGCAAAAAGTGCAAATGATGACTTAATGGGGCCTTAGTTAATCTCTATCAGTCAATTAGCCTGCCGCTCTGCCTGACTGAAGACACATGAGGGAATTGCAGACTTTCCATCAGATTATCAAGCCTGGAAGTTATCAACAAAAGACACAGACAGGCAGAGAGACCAATGACTCTTGGCCGTTCCAAAACCGCATTAGCTACTGTCTGATGGTTTTTTGCACCTCAATTACACAATGCTAACGCTCTCTCTCTCTCTCTCTCTTTATCTTTCTCATCTTTAATCCATCCATGTTCATCCATCTGTCTGTCTGTCAGATGGCATATTTCAGGTGATACTTCATGAATTAGTTTAATGAAACTTGACGTATCTTTAGACTAATTACATTATAGCATAAGTGGAAATGTGACTGCTGAGTTTAAGCTGCACTATTACCAAAATGTTTATGGCAGTAAAAAAAATCAAGTAATTCAGTCAAATCTTTAAAACTTTTAAAAAATCCTGTAATATTGTTTTATGGTTGAGTCACACACGGGTAAAAACAGGATGATAGCCTCCATGAAACTAAGAAAAGTTGCTGGTTATCCATTAACTGCTCTGAATGTGTTTGCATTGGTAGCTTGGTAGTTGCACCAACTGGTCGCCCACAGGTTTAACGTGTAAGACCACAAACCTTGGGAAAAGTGTTTTTGATTGTAAGATGATTGCACAGGTTGCCTAACTGGGACTGACTGCAATCGCTCTCAGACAGACTTACAAAGATTTGCAACTAATGTTTGATTTATAAATGTGGACAGATTGCCAGCATGTTGCAATTAGTCTGAGTCAGTCTGTGCTGATAAGCAACAACTGTACAACTTTCAAGCTCATTTAATATTAACATTGGGTCTTGTAGGTACAAGAACTCAATAATTATCCTTACACGTGTATAGCAGAAAGCAGTAAAAAATCCACTTCTGATTCGCTGTAGACTACTTTCATTATAACGCACTCACCTATGATAAAACATCCTTATCTGCACTAGGATGTTTTATCATAGGTGTCATTTTAGCATATTTGGTTCTACTTTGGCACATGTTCTTGATTTGACATGTCTCCGATGATGACTGGATCACCTGTAGAGACATATCTAAAATGTTTGATCTATTTTAGTTGGTTTTTCTCATTAGTTAAAATTGACTGAATGGAGTAAATGGAATTAAAGAAGTATAAAAGTGAGAGCAAAACCAATTAATCACATGCTGGAGATTCATTCAAGAAAGTGCAAGCTGTTTTGGTGAGTGATAACACAAGTTACAACAGCAGGTACCAGAAAAGGAGAAATATGGGATAACATTAAAGAGTGAAGGCCGTTAATGATTTCTTCAGTACAAGGGAAGAATGGTAATCTTCAGAGGAGTTAAATTTGATAAACAGCATCCTCTATAAAACTTGAGTCAGTGGACTGTGACTATGTTACGTTCAGTAGAAACCTGAATATACAGTGCATCTGCATGTTTACTTGTTTCACATTCTGTCGTGTTACAGCCTTATTCCAAAATAGATTACATTCATTTTAAATTCTTACAAATGTATTGAAAATAAAAAACAAAAATGTAATGTGTATATAAGATCCTGTTTCCACTGATCGTGTGTCAGATGTCTCTTCAACTCAAAAAGACTTGAGTCTGTAATTACAAAGTATTGAGCATCATTTTAATTAAATATGCAAGAAGTTCAACCAAACGTTTTTCACTTCGTCATTATGAGGTGTGTGTAGAATTTTTGTAGTGCAAAATGAATTTAATACATTAACAAAAGGCTGGAGCTGGAGCTTAGAAAGGACTGGATTTCCTGTGAAACTTTGATTAGGCTACTCTAAAACCTTCATTTTATTTGCCTGAGCCATTTAGACTTGCTGGTGTGTTTTGGGTAATTGTTCTGCTGCATAACCCAAATGTGTTTGAGCTTAAGGACACAAATGAATGGCCAGACATTCTCATGGAAGATATTCTGCAAACTTTCCAAAACTTTTGTCTCATCAGTTCACAGAATATTTTCACATCTTGGGAATCATGAAGATTTTTTTTGTCAAATGCGAGAAGAAAATTTGTTCTTTTTGGTCATTTGTATTTGTGTCCTTCTCTTCCACATCTCTTCCACAGATGCTATTTTTTCCTAGTCTGTTTTTTATTGTTTTACGACAGCGAGACCTGGAGGGGCGTGATTGGGAGGAACGGCCTCCTTGATCTGAACCTGAGCGGTGTTTTGTTATTGGACTTCTGTGCAAATCACAATTTGGCCATAACGAATACCTTGTTCGAACATAAGAGTGTCCATATGTGCACGTGGCACCAGGATGCTCTAGGCCGCAGGTCGATGATCGATTTTGTAATCGTATCACCAGACCTGCGACCATATGTTCTGGACACTCGGGTAAAGAGAGGGGCTGAGCTGTCAACTGATCACCACCTGGTGGTGAGTTGGATCAGGTGGCGGGGGAGGACGCTGGACAGACCTGGTGCACCTAAATGCGTAGTGAGGGTGTGCTGGGAATGCCTAGCGGAGGCCCTGGTCCGTGAGATCTTCAAGGCACACCTCCGGCAGTGTGGAGTAGTTCGGAGAGGCCATGGAAAAAGACTTTCACACTGCCCCGAAGAGATTCTGGCAAACCGTAAGGCCTCTCAGAAGGGCAAAGCGGTGCTCTACCTGCACTGTGTATAGTGCTGGCGGAGCGCTGCTGACTTTGACTGAGAAAATTGTCGGGCGGTGGAAGGAATACTTCGAGGACCTCCTTAATCCCACTGACACGTCTTCTGAAGAGGAAGCAGAATCTGGGAATGAGGGTGATGACCCGACCTCTGGGACGAGGTCACTGAGGCAGTTAAACAACTCCTTGGTGGCAGAGCCCCTGGTGTGGATGAGGTCCGCCCCGAGTTCCTGAAGGCTCTGGACGTTGTAGGGCTGTCCTGGTTGACACGCCTCTACAATGTTGCGTGGAGATCAGGGGCAGTATCCCTGGACTGGCAGACCGGGCTGGTGGTCCCCATCTTTAAGAAGGGGGACCGGAGGGTGTGTTCCAACTACAGGGGGATCACACTCCTCAGCCTCCCTGGGAAAGTCTATGCCAGGGCGCTGGAAAGGAGAGTTCGTCCGCTAGTCGAACCTCACATACAGGAGGAACAATGTGGTTTTTGTCCTGGTCGCAGAACATTGGACCAGCTCTTTATCCTCTCAAGGATACTTGAGAGTGCATAGGAGTTTGCCCAACCAGTCTACATGTGTTTTGTGGACTTGGAGAAGGCATTCGACCGTGTCCCTCGGGGTGTCCTGTGGGAGGTGCTACGGGAGTATGGGGTGTCTGGCCCATTGCTACAGGCCATT